GGCCATCAATTAGACAGCCAATGGTGTCCAAGACCGCGCTCTCGAGCTATAGAGATCTAATCATCTAAGGTACCAAATGCCAATCACACCAGAAACCACGCCTGACTCCTCCAATCCAGACACCCTGACAACACCTGGAACCCCCCGCCTCGTCAGGGGTTGGAGCTCCAACATGGCTACAGCTCAACGACTGCAAGTGTGGTATCGCACTCGTCAATCAACTGCATGTACCTGTAGTGTTATGTCGCATCTTGCAAGATCCTCGCGCCTCCGCTGATAATCAACGTGGCTTTGTTTTGGCCTGCTGGCAACCCTCTTAGTGGGGTGGCATAAAAAACGCAAAGAATTGGTCTCCTTCTGTCGCGTCAAGTCCAGAAGAACCCTTGTTAATAAAATTATTTTATTATAACATTCGGACATCCACTGGTGAGCAAGTTGATTGGCTCGATTGCGTACCCAGTAGATGTCCCACCGGCTAGTCTACTAGCTAGTACGGTAGTAGCTAGCTAGTGCCACATGCACGCACAGTGTGTGAAGAACAAACATGGTACCGTACGTCACGCGCACTCTGCGCAGTAACTATTCTCTCTTTCCATGAAGTGGTATTAAGGGGGGATTAGAGTAGGGAAATTATCTACGGAAGCCAGCCGGGGCCAGGCTTTTAAGCAAAGAACAGTCGAAATTCAGGACTAGGTTCTGTGGGATCAGGGGCAAGAAATTGAGGACCAGTACGGGGCCAAATGGTTTGGCTTTGTTGCTTTTGGTCTCAGAGAGAACAACAGTCGAACAATGAAGAGCACCCAAACGAATGCTGATGAAACCACTACCTGTGACAGCCATGATCTTGGCATTGCGGCGGGGACAACCAACAAGAAGCTGGATGAAAAAGCAGCAGATACAAAAAAAGAGGATCAGTTTGAAAATCTTGCCCACAGTCACAGTAAAAAATCCAACAATGATGGCAGTGATGCTCTTGTTGTGCCTCAAGCACACATATCCACGGAGCCGAACCCATTTTTGGATGTTAGCGGCATCCAGCCAATGCCAACAACCCTATTACGAGCACGAGTATTCCAAAATCAACATCCTGGCGCATTCGCAGTTGCGGGCGTGGACAATCACTCTTCAGCTAATAATCACAGCATCACCCACAATTCGGAAAATGTCCCATGGGACATCACAGGCAGGAGCACAACTGAAAATAGTGGGCTACCAGTTGCAAATCAGGTAGCCGACAACTCAAATTTACCTGTAGCAGATTTGGAAACTGGACACAGCAATTTACGGGAGAAAAGGGATGAGTCCCCTTTGGTGGTTTTCGGAACCATTTTCTACCTCCTTTGTCTGATTGTGCTCATCGTTGTGGTTGCTGTGGTTGCAAGCTCTAATGGGACTGAAGAAGGAAAAGAACAGATTGGTCCTTTGGAATCACCAACAATGGCCCCCTCTGGCCTTCCAGACGAAGTACTCAACTTGTCCAGCATTGAACTTTTGATCATACAAGCATTACCCAATCACACACTGGAAGCACTGGAGGAACCAGACTCCCCTCAGTCTCTTGCCCACCAGTGGTTACTGACAGACTTAGAAGAAAACAACTACACCCTCACCAGCAGGCTCAAGCAGAGGTTTGCGCTTGCTTCACTCTTCCTTGCTACAAATGGAGAGGACTGGTTGGTGAATGATCATTGGTTGAACCATTCAGTTCATGAGTGTTTTTGGTTTGCAAGAGAGACCTTTTTGGATGTACCTACTGACAATACTTCCTACGTTGAAGTAACAAACCCCAATCCTTGCGAGATGCCACCCGAGCGAATCAATGGCTCAAGAGCTGTCAACATTGAACATAACCACTACCAGCATATCTGGCTCCATTCTAATTCACTTCAAGGAAGCTTGCCCCTCGAACTTTTTTGGCTTACTGACTTGAGAAGCATTTCCCTATACAACAACCAAGATGTGGCTGGTTCTATTCCCTCCAATATTGGGAAGCTAAGCAAGGTGGACGCCCTTAACTTGGGAGGAATAAGCCTTTCTGGCTCACTTCCAACTGAAATTGGCCTCTTGTCTGACTCCATGTTCAGTATTGCCATAATCAATGCTCAATTGGAGGGAAACCTTCCATCAGAGCTATGTCTCTTGCAAAACCTGCGTGATTTGTTGGTGGATCAAAATAGATTCACTGGGGTTGTTCCAGCTGAGTTGGGCTATGCATCAAATTTGGAATTGATCTACTTGGCTGAAAACTTGTTCACAGGGACACTCCCCAACTCTCTGGTGCAGCTTCCATTGGCGCAACTCTACATTGAATTGAATCATTTCTCAGGAACCCTGCCCACAGAAATTGGTTTGCTTAGTGACGTCAAGGATTTTGCTGTATACGGCAACAGCTTCACTGGAACCATCCCAAGTCAAGTGGGTCTTATGTCCTCTGTGGAAAATCTTGACTTTGATGAAAACTACATTTCTGGAACTTTTCCCTCGGAGATCTTCCTTCTCACCAACATGAGGCGCTTTTGGGCTTGTTGTAATGGTCTCACTGGAACCATCCCCAGTGAGTTTGGCGGGATTGCCACCCTTGCTTGAATGGTTCCAATCAGGTTCAAATGCTCTGACCGGAACCATTCCTGTCGAGTTTGAACAACTACCACTTCTGAACACTTTGGATTTGGAACATAATATGTTGTCTGGGTCACTCCCACAAGGTCTCAGTCCCCATATTGAGTGGTTGGATGTCACCAACAACAGCATGTTGACTGGACCCTTGCCAGCACAGTTTACCAATTTGTTTTGGTTGTTTTTGGAAGGGACACAAATCTCTGGAATTCTTCCAGACTATCTTTGTGACATCGATGCCCTGGAGTTTGACTGCAGTGCAATCCTGTGTGGATGTGGTTGTAGTTGTATGAATGAAACCAACACCACTTTTTCCCAAGTCATGAATTCAACAAGTGGCGATGCTTCCCGGGTGTGAAGAAATATGGTAAAGCAGCGCCAGCCAATGCATGATCGTGTCTGTCTTTCCGCACAGTTTTATGTCTACATGCTTTACACTAGCTAATAAGCAACAGAAGTCTGTATCGAATTGGCGGGCTGTAATGCCTTGCTAGCTAGCCAGCCAATTGGACCATGTTGGACCGTGCCTGTGTGCTGGCGACGGCTCGTGACGATCTGAAGTCTCTCTCCTCCTCTGTGAGGGAACCTTCCACTCCTGGCCCCACATGCACCTGGCCGCCAACGCATGAACCCACGCCACCCCTGGCTGACCCATCTCCTCTCGTTTTTCTGCACGAAAAGAGGACACCACTCGAACCGTCGTGTTATTGGTACCTACTACTAGTAGGTACCAATAATGCCGGAATACCCATTACGGACGTACTTAGGGTAGGCTGGCGTGCTGGACGTTGTTGAGATGCACGAATGGATTCTAGTACTGAAACGGTCGTAGAAAGTTCCGTAGATGCCATATCTTTCGCACCGATGGAGTGGATCTGGTTGTTTCCGACATCAGACAACACAGTATGTCAACTAGCTGAACACCACTCCAAGTGGTCCGACATCGAGAGGCGATGTATTGATGGAGTGCCACAACAACGATATAGCGCTGTTCTTTGGGCTTGTTTGTAGGAGAGGATAAATGACAACGGTATTGACTCCACCGGACATGGAAAGAAATTTTTGGCTCATCCAAATTCATTTCGGAGGATGGCCGCGCGCGGTTTAAGTACAATCCGAGCAATTCTCGCGCCTTTAATTACCACGAAAGCCTGACATGCCTTGGACCAACGTAATTAGGTTCATTTTACTGGCTTTTACTAGCTTCGCCAGACTGAAAGAAATCTCCTCCGCTTTGACACCTTTCGCATCGTATATCGCATCTCATCATGTCGTCTGATGGCGTGGCTGCAGCTCCTGCAGCCACTATCGAAAACGTCCTTGGGCTTCCCAATGAAGGAATAGCTGTTACACTTCCAATTACTTGTGCATGGTGGGAACGAGAGACATGCCTTGCGATTGGTTTACGTTCTTGCTCTGCCTGTGACCTTTATAGAACTGTTCAACACCAGACTTACTTCCTCGGTCGTCCCCAGCAGTCACTCTCTCGGGATTATCGGTGCAAGGTGCCTTCGAAGCAAGTACAGCTATTGCCTGCTGCGTTCATTGATATCCTCTCTGCTCCACCGGCGCCTGCTGAGGAGTACGCTGGTGGTGTTCGTCGTTCGACAAGACATTCTGGGAAGAAGAGAGAACCGTGTTTCGTACCGGATTCCGATGACGAGAGTTTCTACCAGGTGGAAGAGACTCCTCCCACCACCAAAAGAACTCGCAAACGTTCTGCTCTTCTTGATATTTCGAATGGATCTGGACGTGCAAAAGCCTCTCGCGCGGAAGCACCACCAAAGACTGTCATCGCTGTCTCCACAAGTCAAGCCACTGCTCCACGTGAAGCAACCAATGCCACTGCTGCAGCAACACCACTGATTGAACGCAATCCACCACTTGGCCATACTACTGGCATTCCCGCAGTTACCGCTACAAACTTGTCTGACAAGAGGAAGGCTGTTGCCGCAGTGGGCGACTTTCCTTCGCGCCTTTTAGATAATTCCTTCGCTGCCATTCCAGTCAATCCGGTCAACAACACAAAACCTCGATCATCGCTTCCATCACAACAAAACTTAGTCAATAGCTCTGTTTGGTTTCGTTGGTACAGTGCGAAAGGAAGGCAACTGGATAAAGATCTTCACAAAGCAGTCATGGACGAAATAGGCAAGGACAAGAAGAATGGCAATTCAAAGCTACGTCGTATCAACTTGGAATTGTTTGCCAAAGTCATTTGGTCTGTGATTGGCTTTGTTTACTCATCTCGTTGGGTACGCAGCAGAGCCAAGGCACTTGTGGAAGTGGTGTTTGGGTACTTCCTCACTACGTTCCCAGATTTCTTTCATGACATTCTATTGAAGAAATCAAGTCAACTTATTCGGAAAGAAAGGATGCAGGCTTGGAAGTTTCAGCGCACGATGGACCTTTTTGCCACAGGTGGTCTGAATTATGAAGCTTGCAACAGCCTTAGAAGTGGAGTAGAGGAGCTTCCCAAGAGTAGTCAGGATGGTGTCATTCCTCACGGCACCACAATTGCGAGAACTGCCAAGCAATTGGAGCGACATGCTGAGGTAGACTTTGGGCTTACTATCGTCGAAACAATCAACGACCACGGTCCAACTCTGAGATTTGATTTCGAAATCTATTTGAGAATGATCCTTTCTGGCTTTGGTCTTGACCAACACGCAGAAACTGGTAGCTTATCAGAGCCAGTGTTGCTTGCTCATACTCTTGATGGGGCTCAATTCACGGCTCATCTTGGTCACGTGACAGCTGGCATCAAGATTATTGATCCACGTGCAGTAGATCCAATGACGGGAAGAAATCTGTTTTTGGATCACCTTTATCAATCAAGAGACCTTTGTTTTCCATGTCAAATTACTTTCGGCAGAGACTGCAAAGACCTTTACACTGACTGTTTCCATGAGTTCCACAAGCTGTTCAATGGTGGGTTGATCATCCCATCAATGGGTGATCTCCCGGAACTTTCAAATTTCGATATTGTCTCTCCACAGGACATGTCTTCCATTTGGAAGACAACAGGATTGGGTGGTGGTTCCCACCAAACAACTCTCTTTTGTTATGCGTGCATGTGCAACAACCATCACAAGCATTTGTTCCAATCTGGAGAGAAGCGGTGTCCCACTTGTGTCCGCTTGAATGTGAAGATGTGTTTCTGTCATCCGGTCAATGACCAAACCTTCCTTTCCAGCACCCGGGATCTCCTCAAAAGATATGTCGAGGAGGCTGTTGACGATGGGTACGAAAAGCTCAAGGATGTCTCAAAGAAAAGCAGCCTACGAACGAACCCAAACCAAGTTGACAAAGCAACGGATAAAACTCACATTGACTTTGAGCCGGTGACCGACCTTGATATGAAAGGTTACAAGAATTTCCTTCGTTCAGAGCTGAAGCTCCGGTTGGGATCCAACAAATCAGCAATGAAAGACGCCATGAATAAGTCCATCGATGATAGACGTGAGCTCCTAAAGAGTCTTGTTGCCAAGGAAGACACACTTTGGCTTGCTAGACAGACTCTGACGCGACATGATCAAGTCAATTCCCTGACTGAGAAGCTCCTTTGTGAAGAGGCAATTCCCTGTATCCTCCATTTGGAAATGAGAGTCAATGAAAAGCTCTTTTGGTCGCTTCTTGCACAGGCCTTAGATCGATATCAAGAAGCTGATGGAAAGATCAGAAATGAGATGATCAAGGTAGTGACTGACTGTGTCAAAGATAGCATTCTTGGTGATGAAAATCATGGCCGGTCTGCACAGTGGACCTTTCCTTTGAAGGATGGGGGGAAACAGGTGGAGCCAAGGACAATGACAAACACTCAGTCACGGAAATGTGTTAGAGGCATCAAGACGCTTGCCACCCTCATCTTTTCTCAGCAATTTGATGAAAAGTTAAGGACTCCTACCATTACTCGAGCCAACAATGCTGCTTTGATGAAACAGTGGCATGATCTTATTGATGGCTTCCAGCCACTAATGGCAATGGCTAGACAGAAGGAGGATGTTACTCCAAACGATCTTGATTCATTTCATTTGATGGCAAATCGATTTATGACACAGTATGTTGCCTTGTTCGATGGACAGGGGATTACGAACTACATCCACATGATTGGATCTGGGCATCTTCACTACTACTTGATGAGATATGGGAATCTATACAAATTCTCTCAACAAGGATGGGAGGCAATGAATCAGAAGCTGAAGCACTTTTATTTCAACAACACAAATCATGGTGGCTGTGCTGGGAGCTCAAATGGAGACATGATTAGAGGAGATCATGTCCGTCCTCTCATGAGAATGTGTCAACGTTCATTGATGTGGAGGCTTGGTCATGGGGATGCATTCTTTGAAACACAAACTATTACAGCAACAGGCGACAACAAGTGCAATGACAATGATGAAAATGAGTTCAATATCGACACTCGCGAATCACAGTTGGAGTCACAGAATAGAAAAGTCAACTTAACAGTAGATGCTGTGGAGGTACCAGAAACAGAAAGCCAGAACCATTTGCCACAGGAAGACTTATTTGAGGGGGAAGAAGCAGAGCCAGGAAATGCTCTTCTATAAGGGTCAGTCCCAGTCATTCCCAGTTGTGCATCACTATATAGTACTTTGATGTTAATAATAATATTACTGCAGTTGTATCGGTGCAACTATCATGATGATAGCACTAGAGCCTTTCAGGAGTAGTCATGCCACGGTTGCCGGTGCTGTTTGTTACCTCTGCTGCCACAAGACTTGTGGCTTCCTCCATATCCAAAATAGTCTCATCATCATCAGAATCCTCCCAAGTTGGCTTGGCACCGACCTTGTTGTTCTCTGCATCGATGGAAGTAACACAGTACAGTAAGTCGCGGTACCGGAACTCATCACCTACCACAAGATTGTCATTGGTGATGGAGTCCATGCGAGCCTCAGCCACAGCAGCAACTGGTTTGCCGGCATTAAGAGCTTTCAATACAGAACTCGAGTTTCCCAATAACTTCTTGAATTTCATAGCAAATTGCATGTTTGTAAAAGAGTAGCTGTCTTCATATAAGAAATCAACACCAGGAAACGACAAGTACATGGGCTGCCTTCCTTTGCGATCGTAAGGGGCCTTCACAATAGAGCCATTGTCGTCAACAATGAAAGCACTAGCAAGACGTCGGTCGTGGCTATCCAAGATGTCTTTCTCCTGAGCTGCACAAGTTACTATACGAACTTGATCACCTGTTTCAAGTTTGATAGTGTCAGGTTGTGGCTTTTGGGATGATGCTGCTGCCTTGACATCAGCTAAAGTGGGAGCGTTCTTGGTCGTAGCAACTCCAAAGGTAGATCCAAAGACACGTCTTCCTTGGTCGAGCTCTTTCTCTTCCAAGATGCGAAACATAGACACATTCATCTGTCGTTTCTTCTTGGCAACAGAAAGGTCAGGACTGTGAACTTTCTTTGCCCGCTTGAGGGTGATCTCATCCAAGATGAAGTCAATTTGGTCATTTTGTTTCATCAAAGACATCATGCCAATAATGTACTCATAGAATTCCCTAGACCAGCCGGGCATATGGCAACGCTGAGTTCGTCCTTCCCAATTGCCTTTCTTGCCGGCCATCTTGCGAGTAGTGATCACATTCGCAGCTGTGATGCAGTTCCAGATCCGACGGGAATAAGATTCCACAACGTAGAGGTCTTTGCCAGTATCGGGATGTTGTGCATTGTAGGGAGCGAAGAATGGTTTGAGATAATTAGAGTCCTTTTCGATTACCACGTATGTAGAGTCATTCAAAGCCATCTTGTTGCACATGAACGCATTGGTGATACCAGCGGTCTGGAAGATGCCAGCCTCAATCATATCTGGATGAAAGACAAAGGCAATGCAATCAATTCGAAATGGTGAAATCCATCTCATTCGACAGCTCAGAATAACCTCTTGTTGAGTTTCGTGAATGAAGGTGTAGTCGGATGGGTTGATCTTGTTTCCACAACTAGAATGAAAGCTGAGAGGTTCCACCAGACGAATAAGAACCATTCTTTCCTTTGGATCCCTGAATCGATTGAAGGACTGGCTCACTTCCTCGCTTGGGATATCTCGAAAGTCTGATATGGCAATCACTTGACCGACTTCTCCAGTAAAACCATCTGGTCCTTCAGGATGCGTCTCCATCATAATGAACTCTCCTGGACGGATGAGAGCGCTTGGGAATTCGTGGCATTCACGAGCTGTAAGATCAATCACATTGTGGCGGCAAGACTTCGCCATTCGAGACAGTATCCCATCAGGGGTATCAAAGAAACTTGTTCGGCGAACGATGGCTTTATCCATGTCGAGACTCGAGGGGGAAGAGGGGAAGGATGGTGGCGGTGTGGTCGTCATGGTGACTCGGAGCGGCAGAAGATAATAAAAAGAAGACAATCCAAAGCTATCTTCCGATTTATGCATATCATGCATCCACTCATTGCCATCATCGACATGGGAGTGGGCGAGAGGAGTATAGCAACTTTGTTGTTACGTGGAGGATCAGAGCAACACACAACCACCATCAACAACAACAACAACAACAACAACGACATGGATCGATTAGGAGTGGTGATGCCACTCCATTGACTACTTCGATTCGAAGCCCAAAGGAGGCGTTGAAAAAGATTTTTCCACGGAGAAGACATCCAGCAATCTGAGAACGCTGGTACTGTTATCTACGGTAAAAAGTGCTGTAGAAATTCTGTATTGAAAAAATAGTACCAATTTTCTTTCGGGCGAAATACGTCATAAGAGACTGACAGGCGTTGATCTCTAAATCTTCCAAAAGATGGGCTGGCGTCTTTGGCTTGGATGCGTAATGCAGCTTCTTGCATGTGTACAGTGTAGGCCAACTCAACTCGACTTCTCGTGTGCATGCCTTCCCAGCTTTGATGATTTGACTGTTCTGCTGTGTCCAACGTGAAGGTTGCAGTTTCCTGTAAACCTTTTGGGCTGTTCTGGAACAGAGAACTGTTGTGTACCAGTGTTTAAATCTTCTGACTTGACGTTGAATTAATATCAAATGTGACTAGCTAAGCCTTTGCATGTCTCAGTGTCGTTACTAATTCCCAACTTCCCCCTAGCAAAGAATGGGCCCAGCAAACGCTCACATCGTGTCTCGAAGGAAAAGATCACAACCAAATCACAATCAAGCTGCCACAAAGCACCGTGGAGATCCAAGCCCCAACAACAGACCGGTGGGTTCACGGTATCCTTCTGCATTGTGCAAGCGTCTGTGCTGTAGACTATAGTCAGGCTAGCTAGCATCCATTCTTCATCGATTCGATTCGATTCGGCTGTTTGGGAGGAAGGTCTGAAAGAGTGAAGCTCTTGAATCATCTTTCTCAAGGATTTACAGGCTGGGAAGGAGACAGCTGAAGGCTTTGAAGGCATCCTCACGAAATAGTTTCTTCCAAGCGAAACGGACACGACAATGAGCAAGTTGGCAGTGTTGGAAGCCACTGGTTCGGTTGTCTTGACGACGATGGATGAAACACTGGCAGCTCAAGATGGGCCAGCAGAGACTGAAGCCGAGGGATCATCCGATCATCAGGAAGCAGCGCCACAAGACCCAGCCACGACGGCAGACAACGACAAGGTAGACCAACAACAACAAGAGGAGGATCGAATGGCATTTTTGGAAGCGGACACGAGCCACATGACGAATTCTCGCAAATCACTCGTTGATGATGATGTTGATGATGATGTGAAGAATCCTCCTGCCAAGACGAACAGTTATCCCTCGACATTGACCGATTCCAACGACGACCATCATCGTGATTTACCCGTGGAAAGTGATCATTGTGGTGGATTTGAGCACGACAACCATGACAATGACGACGAGGACGACGTGAGTCTTTCCTTGTCAATTCCCTCTCGATTCAAAGTGGTACAAGTGCCATCGTCGCTGCCATCGTCGTTGAATTCTTCCTTTGTCACGTACTACGATGATCATACCATTGATGACATTCGCAACATGGTACTCGTTGATGACGATACTCATGGAACTCGTTCTCGAGAAGTCTCCTTGTCACCACCGAGACCGTGTCGTGGTGGTGTCACAACAGCACGGAAACAACAACTACAACCATGGCCACCCCACTTGTTCAAAACTCCCGTCACCAGAAACACCAGTAGTGAGAGTCAACCACAACCCAACAACAACAACAATACCAATACCAAATCTACTCCACCACCCATGCCCCTCGAAGATGCACTCGCCCAACACAATAATAATGCCCAACACGAACGAGCCGACAGTTGTCCGGTACGACCCATGCGAGGCATGTCCATTGGGAGTGCCAGTACCCTCGATTCCGAACACATCAAGGCCGTCTTATTACAGCAGCAACAACAACAACAACAGCAACAATATAATAATCAATCCAGCAATACATTTCCCAGCATGTGGGAAGATTCTTGGACTACCTTTGCTACACTCGACAATATGAGTCATCATGGACCGGCGTCTGTTATTATGGAAGAAATTGAAGAAAACCCTACCAGTACTACCACAGATCCGCAACAATTACTCCTACAATTCAACCGTCGATCCACACCACCTCCTCCTCCACCCATGGATCCTCAGCCTCATCCATACAGTCCTCAAGCATTGCAAAAGCAACAACAACAACAACAACAGCAACAACAACAGATGAAAATTCCCAAACGCTCGTCTTCGGTACAATCAACACTATCGCAGAACAAGAAAAAACCACCACGGCGAACATCGTCGCGCAATTCACAATACAGTGCATTTTCCAACATGTCATCACTCGATGCATCCGTCATTCGACGCATTAGTCGATCCGAACGAATCAATAGACTCAAACGAAAATCCATGCAACAGCAACTATTACATCAACAAATATCCGCCTTTGCCACGGTCACCAGCAGTCTCGTGCCAAATACTTCCAAACACTCTTCTGCATCAGCTGCATCCACGGACGCTGGATACAATTCACTCTCGTCCAATTCCAAATTACCCGAACGTCGACCCACCAAAATTTTACCACCCGATGAAGAAGCCGAACAAGAACCAAAATCATTCTGGGGACATTCTTCGTCGCAATTGTCACTCACCAGTAGTAGTAGTGACGACGACGAGGATGATGACGATGACGACAAGACTGCGGCAACTGCTGGCAATGCGCCAGACGATGGAGCCGACATGACACCACGCTTACCAGGACGACGACATTCTGCCAGTAGTATGAGTCTCTACGAAGCCGAAGCGGCCGCGATACGACTCCAAGAGGCACACGATTTGCCTCTCATGGCACCTCTCCGACGTACCAGTACCTTTGGATCGCAAACCGAATTCTATCTCAGTCATGCCCGGGGAGAAGATTTGATCGATGATGCTGGCGACAACGGAAACAAAAATAAACGACGGGGACGAAAACGACCGCCCGTTTCCAGTATTCATGTGCCACCACAGCCAGAACAATCTACGACGGAACCAACCGCAGAGGATCAAGTCCCCAAAGCACCGGCACGACAACGGTCGTTGCCGCGTCCTGCGGCCGAACCGCCCAAATGGCTCCAATATGCCAAGGCGGCAGCAGCCGCAAAGAACAGTAGTGATTTGCTGTTTGACCCTGACAATAGCAGTCAGCAACCACTGTCGGTCCTCACGACGACAAGCTCCTCCTCCGATTGCATCCCTTCGAGACCACGACGACAAACCACCCTCACCAAGGAAAATCTCCCCAAGGGCATGGCATTACGAGGGGATCATGACAGCAATACGGAAAACAATAGCAGTGGCGGCGAAGAAAAGGAAAATACATCGTTGCAAGCATCGAATTCGTCCCTGTCCATTTCGTCGCAACAAGGTGGAGGTGGTCATCGTCGGACCAATTCGGCCGATGCGGCACCCAATCAACCGACACGAGCGACCAGTAAGAGTCCTCGTCCGCCGAGTCCAGCAGTGCTCATGTTGGCACAATCCACGTCGTTGGGGGATTCCAAAGAATTGCTATTACTCAGTGATGGGGAACAAAAGTCATTAGAGCGGTTATTGCGAAATCGGGAGAGTACCAAGAAGAAAGATGGCAATAAGAATGATCCGCTGCAGCACCAGGAACAACCCATTTGTGAGACTTCTTCCTCGTCCTTTTCCGCGTCGGCGCTACCCCAAAAGCCACCCACGCTGGATGACAGAGGACGGATCGGATCTGTCACGTCAATATCGACTGGGGCCACGACAGAATGCGCCAACAATACACGAATCGCCACCATGGGACGGCGAATGCCGCCCGGTCGTCATTACACACAAGGATCGTCGCTGCGCTCGGCTGCGGCATCGCTCAAAAACAGACGGTTCAGTGACGGGAGCGTCAATCCGGGGCAGGACGATCTGGTGGCAGAAGCAGCAGCTGAAGAAGCAGCACCCCCTGAAGAATCGAAAGCTAGGGCTAGCACCGACGCACCAATCATGAGTTCCGACACACCAATGATGAGTCCCTCCTCCGAATTCGAACAGCTCAAACTGCTGAACGAAGACACAATGCGTGACTTGAGCGAGCATTTGATGGAATGTATGAACGTGGACG